GATATATATATATATATAGATGGGAGGGCGGGGGAGAGAAGGAGTGGGGAATTTGCCTGGGTACTTTGGCTTAGGATCCTTCGAAACGAAAAAAAAAGAAAAATAAAAAAAAATTGAAGAAAAAAAAATGTTTACCAAGTGGGTCTGCGTGCCCCCTTTTTTCTGCCGATTCTCTTTGTGGTTCCATGTTACCCCACTGTCCCCATATTGTGCTGTAATGTATGTGTGTGTTAGTAACGCGTACACGTTAAAACCCCCGGGCGGAGCGTGGCGCTCGTGCGATAGAACACATAAATGCGTATATTCTTATCTATCTATATGACACCAAACTCTCTTATTTGCCCCATTGTTGTTTCGCTGGAAGGTTTTACTGTTTGTGGTCTGCCCTTCTCTTTTACTTCCCCCTGCTTTCGCTGCTCTGCGGCACCATCGGGGCTCGAGAGAGGCACCCAACTTCTTACTTCCAAATTTGCCCTTTAGCCAGGTTGGAAGGTGGGACAGCGGAGATGCCTCCTAAGCTCCCAAATTTGAAGTACAAACCAAAGCGTGTTGTTCGTCCCAAGGATGAGGGAAATGCGCCTCAAACCGCGGAAGGTGTGGAGGACATGAGCCTTCTCCAGTTGGAGCGTCTGCGTCTCCAGCAGGAAGCCGTTCTCCAGCAGCAGCAGCAGCAACAACAACAACAGCAACAGACATTTAGAGCAGGTGCACCAGCGCCGCTTTCTTCGCGGGGTGACGCTGCCGCATCGGGCGTTTCCGGTGAGAATGTGCCCGCCCGCAGGCAGCCTCGTTTGCAGTCTGCCCAGATAGCCGCTAACCGCGCAGCTGCTTATTTTGCCCCCGAGGCTGAGAGGTTTCCCGAGAATACCATGTCGAAGATCCTTGAGATGAAGGCCGATACTCCAGGTGTGACTGTTTATCACCCAACACCATTGGACTGCACACTCCCTGCCCGTTTGCAGTCGTGTGATGGGGAGGGTCCTGTGGAAGGAGACGATCAACGCATAGAAGCGGCGACGCAGGACGACGGCGTCGCCTTCCTTAAGGAATACGAGGAGGAGTTGCGTCGATCGAGGCTGGCCAATATGCGGTTTGAGCGTGAGGTGCTTCACGCTTCTGCCAATAAAATTGATATGGAAACTCCTGTGGGGCGTTCGGATGAAGGTGAGTTGGTGTGGTTTCAGCTTCCTCGCTTTCAGGCCGATCCCCCGTTTGCACTAACGCAGCTGCCCTCTGGCAAGGTCGGGGAGGTGAAGGTGTATAAAAGCGGACGCATGACAATGGAAATTTGTGGTGTGTACTACGACCTAGCCGTTGAAGGTTACACCGCTGGGGGTGATGGGGCCTGTAATGTTGTGGCCGCCGTGGCGCCTTCTCAGCAGCCGGACGAGAAGGCGAGTTGCTACCAGTTGGGGCTTTTGGAAAAGAAGATTGTTTGCACGCCAAGTATCACTGTGGACAGCTGAGGGAAGGAAATAGAAAGTAAGGAGTATCAAAGCGTGTTACGTTCCCCCCGACACGGTGTGCAAATGCCCTGTCTGTCTCGGAGCGCCGCTGTTTTTTAAAGAATGCTCGTCTGCGTGCAGAATATTCGGTTTCTATTTTTTCTCTTTTTTTCTCCTCCTTAATGTCCCAAAACGGCAACCAGACGACACAAGTCAGAGGGAGAGAGAGAGAGGA